CGCCTCACATTGTGCTCCTGATGAAGTCCCAGACAGTACCCATTTTTCTGTTTACTCACATTTACGTGATATGTGTGCTGTACAGATTCGGCCCTATCTACGCAAACTGTATTGACTTTAGATGTAAACACGTCGCAAGAACAGCTTAACACATTAGGTATGACCGCAGTATATTTCATATCCTTATTTAGCAAAAAAACTATTTCATTTGAGGTCAACAATTGGGCTATTTTTCATGTGAGAAATAAAAGCCTGCCAGCTGGTTGCAACTGTTTCCGGCTGAACGTGTGTGGCCAGAAGTTCACGTACTTTACGGCAAGTGATGAAAAGTATTTTGAATTAAAGAAATGTTAAAATAAAAAAAATTAAAAAATTAAAAAAAAAACACACACACATACTGTAGCTAGGTCTTTATTCTTTTACATCAATAAAATGTTTTGGGGAATTTTTACCAGTCTAAAAAAAAACCCAAAAACCTATACCAGGGGTGTCAAACTCATTTTTAACAGCGGGCCACATTGTAGTGATCGTTTCCCTTGAAGGGCCATTATGAGTGTGAAAGCATATCATGAAGTCCAGAATAATGGCTCATTCAACGATTGTTTAAGTTAGTGTACTGGGGGCTTTAGTAACCAAAAAATACTTACAGTATCTCACTTACTTATTACATATGAGAAGTTGAAATGTTACATTTTTTAGCAATCATCGTGGAAGTTGACATGTTTGATTTGCTTTCGCGAGGCCGCATAAAATGAGGTGGTGGGCCAGATTTGGCCTCCAGGCCTTGAGTTTGACACCTGTGCGCTACACAAACACCATTACTTGGGTGGTTGGGGGCACGGAGGTGGGAATATTCTGCCTCCCAGATCATAGTCTTTCCGCTCATAAAACATGTGACAAGGTTCACAATAGATTCACTTTCAGGCTAACATATTCCATGACAGCACAGAACGACCCAGATTGAACAAGATTGTGTTTGCTGCTGTAATGTCTTATTTTGTGGATCAGATCATTGACATAATCGATAGATAAGTAAGTGTACTGTGAAAAACTATGAATGCGGTTGTTTACAAATGCACATTTCAAAACAATGAACCATCTGGCGGGAACAGAGTAACATTTTCAATTGGTTGACCTTGGTGGAGGTGTTTCTGATGAAAAAGAAATTACATTTCCTACCATCACTGTTGATGATGTGTAGAAGTAGCTTCAGGTAGTTCTGCGTCTGTTCCACCAGGTCCCACGACTAAAAACATATATGGACAAGACACAAAACAGATTCTGTTGGGAGGCAAGCTCGAGGAAGGAGGGTCAAATGGAGGTTTAACACTGCATGACCGATTTATCATTACACAAATGATAGCGCATCACTGATAAATTGACATCAGTCAAAATGTCACAATTATTTGTTTGTTTTTTTTTACGCTGCGTTTCTGTCGCGCTGCTGCTGTGTGTCTTGTGCATTGCCTGATAAAGTGCAACACATTTCTCCAAGAGAAACAGCTGGAGAGCTCCACTTAAGAACCTGTGACATTATAACATAATATAACATTAGACTTAAGTGCACATTAACAAGACGTCTTTCTGGAAAAATGGTGTTGTGCATGTCATGGAGATATATTTCTTTTTTCCACGCAAGTTTTAGAGAGCATAGTATAGTGGATTCCCACTATTTGAGGGGAATATAAGAATAGTTAATCAACTCCTCAATTATTGATTAAGACAGAATATCCTACCAATGTGCATTTTCCACAAAAAAATGGTTGGCTTCTCCGTCGAATTGAAAAAAATATTGCTAAAATTAAAAATCGCTGAACAGGCAAATCAAGGGTGCTGAACCGCGAGGATGACGCGGTTCCCTGTTCTGTACTATGTGGCCCCCTGGAAGTGTTGATGAAAAATTGCGGCCACCTTCATAGTAGAAGATGGCCAACCCTGAAAAAAAATCTGTCAAGATGAGGGAAGAGAACTATGCACTTCCACAAGTCTGGTTCAATTTCCAAGTGCATGAAGCTGGCACGCTCATCTTTTCAAACAAGTATTCACACGTCAAAACACCATGAAAATGTCCAAACATCATACCGCTCAGTTGAGAGACATGCTCTGTCTCCCAGAGATGAATACGCTTTGGTCCGAAATGTGCATGTCAACCCAATAACAAAAGCAAAAATTATTGTGAAGATGCTTACTGAAGCTGGTAAGTGTGCGTTACTATCCACAGACAAATCACACGCACGCACACGCACACACACACACACACACACACACACACACACACACACACACACACACAAAGATCATGCACACAGGGGCATACATCTTAATTTTTGGAAAGATGTCCTGTGGTCTGACAAAACTAAAACTGAAATGTTTTCTCATGGTGCGCACAGTTACATTTGGAGTATAAAGTGGAAAGAATGCTTGTGGATATTCGCATTCACTTTTAAAACAAAAAGTGTAGTTCAGTTGCAATTGATTCAATGCCCAGAGAAGGTGGAAACTTGCATGGCTGAAAAAAAACCCCATCTCAACTGTGAAATGGGGGGGTTGGCATCGTCATGTTTTGGAATTGTTTTGCTACAAGAGTGACTGTAGGCACCTCACATAATAGATGGAATCATGATGAACGAACATAATGTGAAATACTGAAGGAACATCAATACAACAGCTGAAGCTTGGGGCACAAAACTCGTGAAGGGGGTGTCGGTCACATGGCATTAACGCAATGACTGCCAGCCATAGCAGTTTTTATACTATTGACATAGTAGCTACCTGTCAACGGCAGTGAATAAGTTTAAAAAAAGTAGACTCCTTCCTATCATTCATTGTGAATTTTTTTTCCCCCCACTCTCAATATATGTATCTGCACCAAAAATCCCAAACAGTTGGGCTCTACATTAGACAAATGCTTGCTCATATAAGAGTACCTGGTACTGAGCCCAGTCAATGTTTAAGTTCTTGGTGAAGCACTCAGGGATCGTCAAGGGAGCATCCACATAGTCCTGTCGGGAAATAAGGATGTCAATTTGGCCCGAACGTCATTCCTTACAAAGCCAACTACAATTTTAAATGAATCATATTCTTCAATAATAGTGAGTACCTGATTCCAGTTGAACACAAGTCCCTCAGCTGTGTAGTCTCGGTCTTTGTAGTCTTTAAAAAATTCACACCCTTGAACAAACGAAAGCAATGGATTAAGAAGGAATTGTGAAATGCAGAGTTAAATGCTCCGCCCACATCATATGTCCATCCATCTAACCTGCTACTTTGATCAGAGTTTTGCAGCAGATAGCACCGTTGTATGAGACTATTCGACGGGTGTTCATATGACTGGCTGGCCTGTACATCAAATGAGTCATTTCCATAACCAATGATAATTACGGGGCCATGTCTACTGACACGAACGATGATAGGCCTTTTTTTTTTTTACTTTTAAACTTTACTCCCGTTGACAAAAACCTACTGGGCACGTAATTGCATATCAATAGTATGAAACGGTGAGGGCTTATGAATGACTTAATGCCATGGGATCAACCGACACTCCCTTGGTGATTGACCATTGACTAACGATCCACTTAACTCATTCAATCCCAGCCATTTTCACTGGAACAACCCCCTCAATCCCAGCATTTTACTGGATTTTGACTGATGTTGCAAGGCCCACAGAAATTTTGGTTCCAATGCTATATAAACATGGAGCATGCCAAAATAAAGTTTGGACTCCCCTTTCAGCAGAAAAAAAATATGTTTCTATCTTTTTCCATTCTTCAGCAATTGACATTACAAAATGGCTAAGTTTCATGAAAATGGCGATTCCTGGGCAAAAAACGGAGAAAGAGAGCTTTTTGTAAAAACATGCATTTCAAGCACGTGAGGCACCACTGCCACCTACTGGTCGCTTTTTTTACATGATTTACAATGCAAACGGCTTATTCTCATTCACAGATTGCATCAGACCCTCCTCCTCTCTATGACACACAAAAAAAGACTTAGATGTACAAGTACGTCCTTGGTAGGCGGGGCCTAATTTTAAAAAGACGGACAAGTACATCTTGTGGAATGAAAGAGTTAATGCGCAACCCTAGCCCACAGCAATTACAAAGCGTCTGTTGTTGTAATGCAAAATTGCAAGTTTGGGAAGGAGAGAATCTGCACAATGCAGCTTTAATACAGGGGAATGAACTGGATTTTAAATAACAATGTAGCTGCTTCCAAAGCATCCATCCATATTCCAATGCGCTTATCGTCACAAGGGTCGCGGTTGTGCTGGAGTCTATCCCAGGTGTCTTCGGGCAGCAGGAGAGGGACACTCTTAACTGGTTGCCAGCCAATCGCAGGGAATACATAGACGAACAACAATTTGCGCTGACAATCACACCTAGGGACAATTTAAAGTGTTCCATTAACCTGCTATGCACGTCATAAACGTAAAATATTTTTTCCAGCTGTCGTTTAAATGATACAGCCCAAGTTTCAAGTCAATTGCGAATGTATGACCCTTGAAAATGGACAGAAATTGTACACTAAATACTCATTACTCACTTCCTTGAACATGTTCGGGTAAAGCTGCCAAAGTGTGTTTGTATGTCGAAAGGTGCGGCACGTGCCAACCAATTTTCATAGTCATAAGTCAAACATCCAGGACAGGGTCTGTCAAACCCTTGAAGGAGGAGCTACGGCTCTATGTTTTTGTACTTGTGTATGGCGACTTTAAAATGTAACATTTTTCCCTCGGCCCAATGTGTGTGCAAAGTTTGGCGAGTTTTCGTTTAGGTTTAGTTCCTCCAAAATGTGAATTTTTCCACAGAAGAAGAAGAAGAAAAACAACACATTACTTGCAGGTTTCGATGCTGAGGCCCCAATAATGAGCATAATAATAATAATAATAATAATGATTTTAATAATAATAATTTCTTTGAAAACAATAGGTTCCTCGCAGCATTTATAATAATAATTCTTACAAAATCAACAGGGACCTTGCAGCGGTTGCTGCTGAACCTAATAATGTGATCGAGTCACTGAATCGGAATTGGTCACTTGGACCAGCAGTGCAAATCCAGCCTCAGACAAAGAAAACAAGGGCACTTTTACAGTTTATAGCACTTATGCATATAATCACAAAAATGGTAAAAATATATTTTTAATTCACAAATATGAACAATGACTTTTTTATGCTTTCTTACCAGGGTAAGGCACAGAGAGCAAAGTGAAGTCTGCATAGCGTTGGGCTTTGTCAGCCTTCTCAGAAGATGTCACACTGGGAAGAAAAGAAACAAAGATGACATGTAGGGTCAGTGTCTGAAATGTTACGGAGCACTGTATTATTGGATCCATTTACTCATACTAATTTTTATTTTTAAGTAAGAAGAACAATTTGTTGAAGCGCTCCAGGAGCATTCAACGTGCTCTTTTGAAAATCACAACATTCAAGGTACCGTATTTTCTGCACTATAGCACGCACCAAAAAGTCTTCCATTTTCTTAAAAGCTCACCTCGCGCCTTAAAATCCGGTGCGCCTTGTGTATGGTCATTACGGTAATACATCCAACCCCAAGATGGCTCCTTGCTGGAGACATGCTTACAATGTTATAACTTGCTGTTGGTTCAGTGAACTGTGACGCTGCTTTATTAAATAAGTTTTTGTTGCAGCTCCGAAAAAAGGAGAGCTGTGGTGTTGTTTTTTAAAACGCACACTTTATTAATGGTTTTCACAGTCTCAACAAATACAGGTACGTCTTTGTCTGTCTCAGTGCCTTCTCTTCTTCCATTCGACTCGAGAGGCGTTCATGACCACCTCGGAAAAACGTAAATTTACTATTCCTTCAATGAAACTACGAAAATTGAAAATATTGCATCAAAACAGAAAATCAAGCGGGAAAATCACAAAATAAATTCTATAGCCCCACTACAGAATTTATTTTGTGATTTCCTCATTTGTGAATACAGTACACAACACTTCTGAGACAGTCCAGTCTCCTCCAATTTAACTCAACTGTATTTATAGAGCACTTTCAAACAGCCATTGCTCCATACAAAGTGCTGTACATCGAGCAACTAAAATATATACAACAATAAAGCAATAATCAGTAACAAAGATGGTAGTAGGCACCAAACAGTAAAACAAAGATCAAATTTACGGACATCTGATCGTTCTGTTGCAGCTACGGGGCTATAGAATTTATTTTGTGATATTCTGTTTTGATGCATTACTGTATTTTCAATTTTCGTCGTTTCATTGGAGTAATCGTTAATTTACGTTTTTTGGAGGTGGTCATGAACGCCTCTCGAGTCGACCGGAAGAAGAGAAGGCACGGAGACGGACAAAGACGCACCTAGAGCTCCATCTAGTGGATGCATTGTAGATTGCGCCTTATAGTCCAGTGCGTGCAATATATGAAAACATTTTAAATATGGGCCATTAATTGAAGGTATGCCTCATAATCCAGTGCGCCTTTTAGTATGGAAAATACGGTAAATCTCCTTCGTGAAAAAAAAAATGTATCAGGAACATACTAACTTTTAACCTCTCGACTTTTACCAGTTAGTACCTCCCAACCACATCCAAGATTCATCCTATGTTTCTAAGACCGAGTACACACATGAGGCTAGGTTTCAGACCGCAAACATGAAGGAAAACAAAAAACAAACACAATATGGGATGTACTGTGTGTGGTGTGCTCTGATAATCTCAACACAGAACACTGCACATAAAGATTCAGTTCCACCACCAATTTCCAAACAAGGCAGACGTTTCACATGATCACAAGTGATCTATAAACGAAACAAAGTACTTTCACTACCGGATATGTTCCGCCAATGTTACTCGAGTGTTTCTGAAGGGACCAAATGCTGGAATGGCCATGTCATGTGACGTGAACATTATAAAATCAATCAAAAAAGTGACCTGAGGAACAAGAAAACAACTGTAAAAACAAAACAGCAATGTCAGGGTTTTTATTGTACAAAAGCAGGTTCCTCAGATAGCAAGAACTATTTTCCGAAACATATCTTTTTTGACAGCATCGCCTTTTTACAACGCTCCCGTCTCCAGTCCTCTGCGGAAACCCTGGGGTAACATCAGCGCATATCCAGAAACGTCTGTTCCTCTCTGTTTTTGTGCGATAATGTGTGAGAACGAGAGATTTCTGCCTCTGAGGACTTGTTTTGTACAGAAGTTGGAACTGCTCATGTAATCGTTTTTGATGAGGCTACATCATTCCAACGTACTGCAAAGTCATTCCAGCATGTTTGTGTAAGGCAGTGGTTCTCAAATAGTGGGGCGCGCCCCCCTGGGGGGGCGCGAGGCTCTGTCAGCGGGGGCGCGTTTGGCCTCGGGAACATGCTTTTTATTTATTTATTAATTTTTTTACTGTCCTAGAATAAAGTGCAATTGCACCTCGACTACATTAGGGGGCAGTGGCGCTCACCTTGGCAGAGTGCGCTGGGAGCATTCGCTCTGTTTTGTTCGCACTGAGCATGAGCGCTTTGCACACGGCACAGAGTATGAGCTTGAAGTGTAGACACGAAGTCGACAGACGGAGAGAGAGAGAGACGGAGAAAAGAGGTCTATCGAGAGTGAAGATGAGTAAATAATAATAATGACGAAGCATATGTAGCTCTTGGCTTCACCGTGACTATGGTGGGAGGAAAGACATCGGATAACATGAAGCCAAACGAATTAAGGCGTCACTTAAAGACATTACAACACAATCTCGTTGATAAGAGTTTTTTTTCCCAGAGAAAACGTGCCGAATATTGCCAACAATCATCCCGTTTTGTGACTGCTACTTGTAGCCATTAATCCAGACATCATCTTCGATTAAAAAAAAAAAAAAAAAAAATCAGCACAAATTATTTTATATATATATTTTTAGCTGGTTAAAGTTGTTTTAATATTGTGCTCCTGAGATAATGTTGGTGATTAGTTTGAATGCATTATTAGTTATTGATTTTATGTAATTTTATTTTTCAGTGTCATATGGTTTGACATGGTCAGTCAAAAAATATTTATAGTTAAATTAAGGATTTAATTTTACTTTTGAATTTCAGATGCACTTTAACTCTTTTCTGTTATAGTTAATAAAGCTATTCTTTACAATACAATACAATACATGCTGATTTATATAGCTTTGTTGCAAGTTGGTCCATATTTCTTTTTTTATTCTCTTATACGTTAATAAGGATACAGTGTTATGCAGAGGTGTACTTACAACAATTTTATAGAAAAAATGATACTACAGGTATTTATAGTCACAGGGGGGGGGGGCGAGATGTTTTCTTCTTCTTGGGGGGGGGCATGACAGAAAATAATTGAGAACCACTGGTGTAAGGTCATACATATGCAAAGTAGATTGACGTATTGATAAAGTCACTTGGACATTTTGGTAAAGTCATCCGTTTTTGTTGGTAAAATATGGGCTAAAATGCTAAAAACAGCTTTTTTTATGTGGAATACCCTGTGGTATTATGGGAAAATATGCTATGTTTTTCGCACAAATTTTTCCCTTCTGTGAAAATCGAGTTATATTAATAGAGTTCAATCGCAACTTGTTCTTATTCAATATGTGTACTCCAACCATAGACGGGCACCACATCGCTCCTAAAAGGCAAAAATGAGCAGGAACAATCAGTATTTGTTTTTATTGGGTTTTCAATTGCGACTACTGTGTTTTAGTATGCCGGTATTCTTATTTTACCAAAGTTCTTTCTAATTTACTTTCTTGCGGTCCATGTTGTGTTAAAAGTTGAAGTGTGTGGGTGAAGAGCGAGAGGGCGAGACAGCAAGAGAGAGAGAGAGAGAGAGAGAGAGAGAGAGAGAGAGAGAGAGAGAGAGATTTTGGTTTTGCGGACCCCAGATAGTCTTGGCCACCTCCTGGATAAAAGTCCAGCTTCTCCACTGCTTCACAGCTAACCACAAACTCTAGAACAGTGGTTCTTAACTTGGGTTCGATCGAACCCTAGGGGTTCGATAAATCGGTCTCTTGGGTTCGACGGAGCCTCTGCCATGGAGGGTAAGACACACGCGACTAACAGTTATATATGTAGTTATAACATGCCCACTTGGCCATCACTGGCTGCAGATGATCACATTACATTGTTTGTCCAATCAGTGCTGTGGGAAATTTTGTTCGCTCAGTAGTCACCATGTGACTGTCGTGATAGTACGTCATACAATTGGAAAAAAAAAAAAAAAAAGTATACTTATCTCTTGAAATGTTATTTACTTTTTCCTGCTTTTAATAAATGTGTTTTTTGTGTCTTGAATTTGTAAAAAATATATATATTTATTTTTCACGAATGAAGGGTTCGGTGAATGTGCATATTAACTGGTTGTGATCGGTACCTCTAAGAAGGTTAAGAACCACTGCTCTAGAAGAAGTATATAGTATGTAGCACATTGTTTCTTACTTCAGGCCAAACTTAACCTTCTTGTTCTCCACCATAAGGTCGCAGATGTAGCGAACGGACAAGTACCGGAGGAGCTTAATGTCGTGGCCTCGGACCTTATCAAAAAGCTGTGAGTCCCCATTCCTGAGTAGAAATTGAGAAAAACAAAAAGCATGGAAGCTTCATTACTGTGAACGAGTGACACAGGCCCAAAAACGTGACAACCTAGGTTTCCATTCCTAAAACTCTGTTTGATTACCTGACTCCACAGTCATCCTCTGGAATCTCCTCAGAGTCTGCCCATGTATCATCACTGCCCCCTACAGGGTACACATAGGTTTTTACTGCATGAAGTGGATTTCAACACTTAAGACAGGAGTTTTCCAAAGTCGGTCCTCAAGGGCCGCTGTCCTGCCTGTTTTCCAGCTCTCCCAGGAGCAACACACCTGATTCAAATAATCAGGATTGCTCTAATGCTGCTTCATAGCTGACTGATGAGCTGATCATCTGAATCAGGTGTGTTGCAACCGGGAGAGATGGAAAACAGGCAGGACGGCGGCCCTCCAGGTCCGGAGCTGGACATGCCTGACTTAAGATAATACCAGGAATCACATCAACCCTTAACCTGAGAGTTGAAAGTGCCCTAATAAAGAGGTTACATGAATTGTGTATTAAAGGATTGTATTTTGATTCAATGTATCAAATGTATCAAATGAGATTGCCCACATGATGTGGTACTTCATTTATCCACATCAAACTGAATAGAACTAGACATTCTTGGGGAGTAGAAAAATATTGGAACAGTAAGGCCAATACTTTTATTTTTGCTAAATACTGAAAACCATTTGGTTTTACATCAAACGAAAACAATAGTAGAGATAATAATTCTCGCTCTTATTTCCGGGTACCATCTAGAGCTGATGAACAACAGTGTGTGTGTGTGTGTGTGTGTATATATACATATATATATATATATATATATATATATATATACATATACACACACACACACACACACACACACACACACACAGCATATATAGCTAGATCGAATAAAATGTTAAAACTCGTGTGTTATTTGTGTGCTTTCACAATGCAGTTTTGATTTTGACTTTTGGGGCCTGCAGAGTAAATGTTCTCAAATTTATATTGCAGTCGATCTTTTTTGAATTGATTTTTGCTGCAATACACAATGTTAATTTCAGAGATAAAGAACTGTTGATTATATATAACAGAATTGTTCATTCATTGTATTGTGAGATTTTTATTGTTCAATAAAACACTTGCGTTGGTTCCGTAGAATTAATCTGACAAAGAAATTAAGAAAATTCCTCCACAAATTTAGAAATTTGACCCTCAAATTAAGTAATTGGTTCGCAAAACTGCACTGCAAAGAAAAAACAAAAAACAAACAAACAAACAAAAAAAAAAAACAAATTTTGAGCCATGATGTAGGCCCGGTCTCAATCCCTCGTGAATAGCAGCGGCCTATTGTAGAGAAAACATCCAATTTTAGAGAAGTATTGACTCCATGTTGAAGTAATTTTTGCTACCTGTCTGGTTATTATTGATGTGCTAGCAAGCACATATGAAACTCAAGCAACAAATTGGCGGAAAAACAACAACTTCCCCATTTTAGATTTTATTTACAGTACGTGTCTGTGCTTGCATGTGACTCTGAGTGTTTGTGCTTGTGTTTGTACCAGAAAAGATGTAATTATAGCCTGTGCGTCCATAGAGTTCCCCCCAGCCTGCCAGAGTGGACGAACGACAAATGTGCTGTAGTGATGGAGAAAAGGCACAGTTGTGACTTCAGATGCAATACAAAATAATAGCAATCCTGACCTAAATTAATTGGCATATACATGAATTCTTAAGAGAGACTTGAGTTTGAACTTCTTTTGTTTGATATCAATGATTTGTGACTATTGTATAACTGTGCATAACAGAAACAATAGAGATTTTTTTAATGATGTTTCCTGTATGAAACATTGCTGAGCTTGTTTGCAAATTTACACTAGTGTTGTGAATTGTTTGAAATGGCTGATAATGTTCACTTTCATTTCTGGCAGTGGAATCGTGACCTTCTCTGCTGAGTTTTGTGATTTCGAGAGGAACTATAGACCAAACGAAAGATTGAGAATTTCCTGTAACACAGCAGTACCTTGCCATTGTAGAAAATGACTGGACAGACGAAGCGCCCTCTGCATCGGGCCAGTTTACTCCGGTTCACCAAATCTTGAAGCTTACTGATCTGCACTGTGCTCTCAAACCTAGAAAGACAAAAAAACTTTGGTTTATTCGTTATGCATTATCTGAAATACTTTATCCTCACGAGGGTGGGCAGGCATGCTGGAGCCTATCCCAACTGACTTTGGGCAGTAGGCGGGGTACGCCTTGAACATCCAAACCAAAGGTAAGGCAGTGCACGTCACAGACATGTTATTAAGAAACCTGGGGACTGTTTTAAACTGTGAGAAACGACTTCTCATTTGAAGCATTTCCTGTACAGCTGTTAACCTCCATAGCAAAGGCTCCGTCGAACCCCTGAGACAGATTCACCAAACCCCTGGGGTTCGATGGAACCCAGGTTAAGAACCACTGCTCTAAATTGTCCCTAGGTGTGATCGTGGACGTGAATGGTTGTTTGTCTTTGTGTGCCCTGTATCCCGCCTATTGCCCGATAACAGCTGGAATAGGCTCCAGCTAGTCCGCGATCTTTGTGAGGATAAACAGATCAGAAAATGGATGGATGGATGGATGGATGGATGTATAATATAACACTGACATAAATTCAATAAATATGGTATCCATCAATCAACTAAGGCAATGGTTCTCAAACTTTTTATTGCAAGTTCCACATTAATGTATTGTATTTAAAAAAAAAATGTAGCTCTACGAGTACCACTGTAATGACAACATCAAAATACAGTAACAGAGTGGGCCTAAGTGTTCATAAAACCTGACAGGTTTTATTCTTAAACTATACTGGTAATTATTATTGTAAGCCACTAGAATCGTTCAAACATTAACTCTGTGCTTGAATAAAATAAAGTATAAATGTAATGATTACATTTAAATGTACTGAAAATAAATGTTGAATAAAATTTGCACTCCAATAAATGGATAAAAACAAACACTCCTTAAACATTAAGGACCCTGTTAAGTCATTCCATGTTTTTTTTCTTTTTAAATACAATGGATATGTTGGAAGACAAGTGTTGAAAACGTACAAAGACTGAGATCTATTTATTACTGAATTGCTGATATAAGGCGTCAACCCTTTCCACCAGAGGTGGGCAAACTACGGCCCGCGGGCCGGATCCGGCTTGTTGGTCTTTTTAATCCGGCCCGCCGAAGGTTGGTACACAATTAAGGTTCGATGTGAATGATTACATTAATTTCAGTTGGACTTGTAATGACAGGCATTTCAATGCCAGGTGGCGCAGTTACTTGAAGTTGCAGAGCACAGGGAGGGAGAAGAGACGAAGAGAGATTGAGGGAGAAATCTTAACTACCACCTGCGGACCTCTGTCAAACGGAAATTCCCGAACCCGGTAAAAAAACAAAAAACAAAACAAAAAAAAAAAAAACGTATGCATTAAACTTTCTACTACTATATTACATTAACGACCGATCCATAACAACGAAAGTTCCGGAAGCCCACAGTAGCGCCAACTCAAGCAACTCCCACTCGATACAACAGAATAAGTGTGTTCGCGCCACTATTTTCTATCATTTGATCCAAAACGGTGACGTGCAAGTGACTTTTGATTGCAGTGAATTTTACTGGAATCACGATTTTTTTCAATTTAATTTATTTACATTAACGTCCTGTAGATCATGGCATCTACATCTGAACGAAGAGGAACAGTAATGATCACGGAAGAGAAAGTGAAATGTATCTGATTAAACGAAGCGGGTTACAAAGTACGAAATATTCAGGAGACGGTGGGGGTCGGAAAGACTCAAAACTACGAGACTTTGAAAAACAAGGAAGCGATTCTTGCTGAGTCCGATTCTGGCAATTTCCATGCTCAGAGCGAATTGCTTGCGGCTCGACGGACAGTCGAGTAAATGAACATTTCCTGGAATGGTTTGACTGTTATCATGTCAAAAACTTTCAGCAAAGTGGACCACGAATAAGAGAGGAGGCGAGTTCCATAGCATTAACTATGAGCATCGAGGACTTCGAAGCGTCCCGTGGCTGGCTTCAAAAGTTCGTTGCACGACATCAGCTGAGCAATGCTGTCATGTGTGGTGATCGAGGGAGGTAAAGTTAGAGACAGTGAGTGAGTGGAAAGAAAAGCCACCAGGTCTCTTACTCATCTCATTTTGTAGCAAATAGGCCTAACTTTGTTATATTTTGTATATTTTTTATTTTGTATTTTCTTTATACCTGTACTGTATGCTGCAGTTTTTGTGTTATGAACAGTTTTTGGGCAATATATTGTTGCACTTTGTTGCTTGTGTTGTCACACATGTATGTTGTTAACATACTTGGACGGTCATTCAGGACATGTACCATAGTTGTTTCACTATTCTCATTAAAAAAAAGTATGTTAATACTTAAATGCTTTTGTGTTTGGTATGGACTGTCAACATATGCAGTTTTTTATATGTACTGTATCTTGTGCTGACCCGGCCCACCGGTCAAATTTTAGAAATCAATGTGGCCCTCCAACCCAAAAAGTTTGCCCACCCCTGCTTTACACCCTCTCAGTTGTTGGGATTTTTTGGGTGGGGCTAAAACTGGGTCGAGCTGACGCAATTGCATGTCTACCATTCCAGCATAATTTTAAAAAATATTTTAAAATGTCAAATAAAATGCTAGAGGGATTACACTGATTTCTGATGGGGCTATAGCTTGCCCCAGCTTCAGCGTATCACTGTGCCTGAGCCCAAGCATCAAGCTATGCCTACAACCTGGAAAAAAAATATATACACCTTCCCTGAAATCCACTTTGTGTTATTTGGGCTCCAGTCTCTGTGCTGTGAGCTGCGCATGCGGATAAGACAGCAGTAAAACATAAAACATGTGGCATTGTGGCAAACTAGGTACGTGCACTCAAGTATGACTAGGAGATATTTATCCAGTTTCGCCACATTGGCATTGAAGTTCCCTGACTCAGGGCAAAACCTGTAACTGTCAGTAAAACATCTTTGTTCATCACCAGAAGCAACAGTTGCAAAATTGCATGATGTAAGTAAATCTTAGTCATAGTAAAGCAATAGTAAAGAAGCCCAGTTATTCAGACCTTATGTCTTAAATAGGAAACATTAAAAACACCTATGCTATGACATAAGCACTTGTAGCCAAACATTCGCTTTCTTGTGCAATCTTGATGTGATCCAACAGTGTTGGAACAGTGTTGGAACAGAGAGTAACCTTTGCACTCGAGTGTAAAACATTAGAAAGGCATACAGCACAAATAAGAAGCAAAGCCTAAATCACTGGGAGGTATTTTTACATGAAAATTATATGACACAGTCAGATTTTCAAATGGTACCTGTCTCGATCAACATCTGTGCATTCATACTCCAGGAACACTATCCGCCGTGGGTAATGGCCACACACTTCACCATTGGCATTATGGATTACACTGTACTTGTAATCTTTGGCAAACAACTCCAAACAACAGGTTTCTATTGACTCCATCTGAAAGTTAAAAAAAAAAGGTTAACTTATGATCAATGAGGTTTTTGTGACTCTGAAGAACAGTCATGTTGAAATTGCTCTCATTGTAAAAAATCTATATGGTACTGGACAAATATAAAGCTATCGTTTTTGACAACACAATGTTTTGTTATTTAGATAGAAGATCATGTACTGTATTTATAACAAAATCAGATGTGAACAGTAAAGGGTACGTGTGTGTGTGTGTGTGTGTGTGTGTGTGTGTGTGTGTGTGTGTGTGTGTGTGTGTGTGTGCGTGCGTGTGTGTGTGTGTGTCTCTTTGGTAAACTTAGAAATGAACATTTACATGCTACAGCTTTTCAAGAACGAGTATAAAACTTAGTCCATTTGAAAGGTTTGTGAGGTATACTTTGGAGGATTCTTGACTTTAGCAGGTCATGGGTCTTCCAACATGATAATGCCCCACAACACACTGTTAAAAATCATCAAAGAATCGCATAATTCTTTCGTGGATTCATTTGAGCCCTGATCGAAATCCTACTGATCATCTGTGGAATGACCTGAAACATCTCGCCTGAAAACGTACCATTCACACCTGAAAGTAAGAATTGACAGTTACAGAAATTATTTCAATGAACCGATTACCTCTAAAGGTTGCGCAACGAAATATTAAGTTGATGGAACCATCGCTTTTGCTGGTGTTTGTTTCATGAGTGTCTGTTGACATTACTGTACAAACATTATGAGATAAGTCAAGTCAAGTCAGCTTTTATTGTAAAATATGCTCTATGTGTAACATACAGCACAGATGAAATTACTTTCCTCTCTCAACCACAATAATGTGCGTTTCTGGCAGATGTTAGCACGACGTTGCAACAACAGCCAACACAATTTTAAAAACTCACCCGAGGAGTGACTTCCTTTGCTCTGTACTGGGTCTTGGAAAATAAGTCGATCAAATCCATTATTTCTTCGCCCTTTCTGGCCGACAGCCCAGTAGCCTTGAAGCCACCGGCCACGGAGGGGGAGGCGGCCATCATTCTGCCTCGAGCCGCGTTGCGCGGCTCTAGCCGTACTCGATTGCCTTCAAACACCGCAGCTCCTTGTCCGCTGGAACGGTGAGACCGACCAGGCCATCCCTTCCCAGCCAGTCTCTTCCTGACTGCCCTCTTGAAGGGGCCAGTGCCGGAAGGTCTTTCGGAATTCAGGGCACCGGCGACCTGTTTCGCTTTCAAAACAAACTGACACGACTCGTACGGCCGGCCAGGAGTTCCAGTCCAGTTACCGCTAGCTAACTGGTACTAGTTATCCTCAAACGCCTAAGTGGTGCTATTAGACTCATGTACTACACATATATGTAAAGCTACTACAACCTCGTAAATTCGTTCAGCAATCCTGCAGCTCTCAGGTGGTGGTTTGCGTTTCAGACGGGAGGTGGAGCGGCAAGACCTTTCACCGCCCGGGAACACTGCGGTCAGCTACTCAGGAAACGTCCAGGATCCGTAACGGCCTGCTCGCGTTTCCTTGACGTCAAGTCATCAAGTTTAATTGGCAACCATGGCTATGGCTGTAATGCTACAGGAATCAATTTGCAAGGCGGTACCTCAGTAGAATCTCAAATCTGTCTCAGTACTAATGTGAATGAAAACGCCAGCAGCGGCTCACGATGTTGCAATCCACCATACGTAGTTGTGATAAACAGGAAGTTGGCGCAACCATGTGACATATCACCTCCCCTTTGAGGTGCATTCAGAAATTCGCGTTCGAAAATTCGGGTTCACGCTCTTGCACTATTCTGACATTGTTGGGAGAGGCTATTATTTACGAACGCAGCCCATGTTCTTCACCATTCAGGAGATCGTGTTTGAAACGCTTTCATCTGTGCAAGGTCATGAACTAATGCACCGTGTCTTCAGTCGGAGCGAGTAGTGCTTGCACTGGCACTCTGTTTTTGGTGCACTGGGGATTTCTGAACGGCAAATTTGAGGAACGCACGAAATTTCCGAACGATCAGAGTGAACCAGTGCGACTCAGATTATTTTAGAACGCGCCAAAACTCTGATGCCCGTGCGATGCTACCGAGCCCCTAAGGCAAATGTCAAAGTGCCGGCCCGCGGGCCAAATCCGGCCCGCGAGAATGTTTTCAGTGGCCCCTGGGATGATATTGATTTATTATTAGAACCGGCCCGCAGACCGCAGCAAGCCGAGAGCCCGCAGATCTTTTACACGCACCAATACTACATTTCCCACAATGCAACGGTGACGCGCCAAGCAGTCGGCCGCTTTATTTAAATATTTATTAGTCTAGCAGTCGTTCCCATAACAGTGACATTAGCTTTCAGATACCCATCAAAAATGGCAAAACGGAAGGTGGACACTGAGAACCGGGGGTTTCAAACAAGGTGGGAGTCGAAGTACATGTTCATGGACGTAGCTGGAAAACCTGTGTGTCTTCTGTGCGGAGAAAGTGTGGCG